TGACAACTCTCACTCCATATAAATACCTTTCTATTCAATCTATCCCTATCCATGTTGACTAATCTTCTCCAGTGTCTTAACACAGCTTTCCACTTGGAAACAGGCAGAGACGTCCAACCATATCTCCATTCACAGCATGATTTAGCGTATACTTTCCCAACTCCTAGAGAAATATCGGCAGGCCTGATTCTGTACCTTATTAATAACACTAAAATCTTTAACACCCCATACAGCAGCACCATACGTAATGATAGGTAAAACAACAGATTCATACAATTTTCTAAAAGCATTATGCGGCATACCTCCAAGGCTTTGCACTTGGCAATAACAAGACCCAGTGCCCTACTGGCAGAGTGGGCAACAGCCTTAGCGGTCACATTAAAGTCTAGATGTTCCTGTAACACAAAGCAAAGGTATGTGTACTTATCTACCATATTCAGTAAAAGATCACCACATGTTAAGGTATAACAGTGTGTGTCGGTGTCCGAGTCACATTAGGGGGACTCTTTTTGATATGGTCACATTTCATGATATCCGTCAGTGAACATACAATTGGCGTATGGTCTGATATAGTTCACGTCATTACTTCAATATTGGTTACCAGACTGAAGATGTCGCTGGAAATAAGACAGTAGTCCACCACGCTTACTCCACTGTGTCCAACGAAGGTAATTTCGACGGTATATCAGACTGAAATCGTCCGTTGATTATATGAATATCAAAGGTTTTACATAACTCTACCAAACGCTTACCGTACGTATTTACAGTGCTGTCACAGTTGTGACTTGGAGTATAGAAGGAGTCGCTCACATAATCATCAGGCAAGGGCATCATCTTCAATGTAATCTGATAAGCTACCCATTCGTGCATTAAAATCTCCACTGAGAATGACTATTATAGAATCTCCAAAGTCAGAATATATAAAACGGAATTTGTTTTCAAGCATATATATACCATTTTCATCCGAGTCTACAAATAAGATGATTTGTGTGGATGTATATACATGAACCCAACAATAACACTGTATTCTAACACATCACTTGCAAATTTGAAAAACAAACAATTCTGCCCAAAATCGTATATTTTCTGAAATAAATGTGACATATTTCGGTTTATACAAACAATAACCCCACCAGATAATGTACCAACAGAGGATAATTTCTGTGGTTTACACTCAAAGCAGTCATATGAATCAAACGTTGATTTTACAGCATCTTCAGAAATAGTCCAAGTTTCTGTAAAACAAAACATATCAAATTGTGTACAAAAAATTACAAAGTCCTGGAAAGCAAGTTTGTTTAGCAAACCGTGGATGTTCCATGTCATGAGTCCATGGGTTTTAGTTGTTGATTTGGGTAAATGTTTGCCATTGGTGCCACGGCCGGTCTCCTAGTCTTCATCTGGTGTCCGTCTTCTTTGCTGTTCGGTTGATGTTGTTGTCTTGTCCGGGTTCCCACCTCGCGTATGTCCTGTCTGCTTCGTCATATATATAAACAGTGCCGTCGATAACGAGTTTATCATATGACATGTAGGCTACACACCCATCGTCTCTAGCATGCTTCACATATGGGAAAAGGAGGGATCTAGTTCTCCTTACCCGATCTGTAAAATCTGCAGACCACTCTGTAGGTTGTTTGGCCCTTTAAAGCATGTTTAGCTGTTTGAAGCACATAGTTCTTATCTTGGTATGATTGAAACTTGACTATTATGGGATTCTTACCAGATTTAAAGTACTGTCGGACATAGAAAAAAAATGTTTTTTTTTCACTTTTATATCTACAATTTATGAAGTTAATATGTGAAATGTTGAAATATCTGTTAAACTAAGTTCGGCCTAACTACACTCTCCGTGGTGGGGAGATAGGAAACGTAAAAACAGGACTTTACTGAGGAGATATTAGTGCAGAAATGAGCAATGCGGGTTTTTTAAAGCGACTTATTTAGAACAGACCATGGCTTTGTGCAAATTAGTGTGCGATGATATTGTATTCCAAAGGACACTTTTCAATTGCCTATTTTGAAACTAGACTTAGCTTCATTATAAACGATAGCTGACGTAAAAAATACTAACTTTAATACTGAAACTATTAAGGATGTAGCTACCATGGAGCCTCACTATTACTATAGAAAGGACCAGGTAGGAGGGGCCGTCTCAAAAGCAAAACCAGGACGAGTGTCACAGACGGTGGTGTAGGTCGTACTGGGGGATAGAGATATCAGCTGAGATAAGATAATCCTTTAGGGGAATTAAACTGGGGGGAGTAAACGGCCTGTCTTAACTATTCACAAATAATATACAGTCCTGTCGATCTTGGGGTGATTATGCCACCTATATATTTTGAGACATTTAATACGATAGTTGATATAAGCTTTTCTATGGGTATCATATTGTTTTACATATCTCAACATAAACGTTATGAAAGACACGTAAGATGATAATCAATAGATGAGACATATTCAATACACATGACAAAATGATAAAATATCCTTGAGATGACCCCTTGTGCCTGTAGGCAGCGCATGCATTTCATGCCAGGTGAGTCGACGGTCCGTCGTCATACCTGGCTGAGCGACCTAATTGCCATCTATAGTCTGATCTATTGTTTTCAGCAGCTATTATTAAGTTTTGCCCGATTTCACGAGTAAACATGCATTTCTGGATATCCTATTACACATCCAACTAAACGCCCAGTTAGGCCGATGTGGGTTATTTCAACATATGCTACTTGCATTTGTGTAAATTTTAGGGATACAGAGTAACAGCCTAAAAACAGTTTTTTCCTATTTCCGACAGTACTTTAGTTTTCAGTTTTCGATCGGGATACTGCGTGATGTCGCCATACCCAGGGTAGCGTCAATAAAATATTTAACTCGGATCTCCTCCCATGTCTCACCGGCATTGCAATCTCTTCCGTAGAATATGAGATTGTTCCGTCGTGACTGAGATTCACACTTGTCCATTTTCTTCTCCATGTGTTCAAGTGTTACTTGGAGTTTGGCGTTGTCCTCTTCGAGTTTATGGAGTCTGTTGCTGAATTCGGATGCAAACAAATCCATCTTCCGTTCAAGGGAGCTAATCTGGGAACTGATGTGGTCATGGATGGTGGACAGCCTTTTAGCGAGGTCCACTAGTGTAATGGATACTTCACGGGTGTCGAGCTCGCCGGGTACATTTCTGGTCGACAGACGGGTTTGTATTTTGTCTGCGTTAGTGGTGGAAACCTTTGGAGGTCCTAGGTTAGTCTCTATGTCATCAGGGGCGTTGGCTCGTCACGCCGAAGACCCGGGTTCGAATCCCCACATGGTACAATGTGTGAAGCCCATTTCTGGTGTCCCCCGCTGTGATAGTGCTGGAATATTACTAAAAGCGGCGTAAAACCAAACTCAGTCAGTCAGTCAGTCAGTCTATCTCACCACAGGTAACTATAAGTATCATGGATCGGATCGCTAGTCTCAGTGTTACACGTATCCCACCTGGCGGCCTTATACCGGGGACCGGTTTGGTTTACCTGGTCCACGTGTACATCCTGGCTGGAAATGTTCTTGAGTACCTTATTCACTTCCCAGACAGCAAACTGTGTCTTCATTATCTTTTTCACCGTGCCAACAAGGTTGTTTCTAACCCGGTTCTCGTACATTGTAGAGAGGTACATAAAGGGAAGGAACTCGCTCCGCACTGTTACTATATTCCCAATTGTTCAGTAGCCGGACATATCTCCTAGGAGATATCCTATGATCTCACACAAGCGATATCTCCTGTGGAACACAGTTTTGGGTGATAAATACCCACACTCTCAGAGTCAGGGCCTAGATTTTCGAAGCTTTCTTAGCGCTAAGGTAGTAGTATGTTAATGTTAGGGTATGGCACTTACGACTCTCTTAGCGCTAAGAGAGCTTCGAAAATCTAGGCCCAGGTCCCCAGTCGCCAGCAGATAACCACTGTGCCTGAGTGGGTGAGATCGCTGAACTCGTATGCAATATTTATTAAACCCATACCATTGCACTCTCATAGGAAAACTCAGGCCAGCTTGCCTTTCTTTATTTATGCGTATGAAAACAATGTTTCCAAAACAAATAACGTCCGAAAGTATACTCTTATTCCAAGCGATCTATGTTGCTTTTTTAAATCATAAAATACGTTACACAGACAGTGATTGATCGTGGTAATGCTATACTTTTATCCATTTTAACGTGGGGAATCAAACCCAGGTCATCGGTGTGACGAGTAAATCACGTAACCACTAAGCTACCCCACCGCCCCTCGCATTTGGGAATATTTCCTTTGGTATGACATTTAACCAAGCAGGAGCAAGCGTTTCACAGCAAGTCGGCAACAGAATTAAGTCCTGAATTGTCATTATGAATCAAGTTTCCCCGCCGATGTGGAAGTGTATACCCTGATGATTATTGTAGTGTATTGGTGATAATAAGTTGTGTCACTAGTATTATCTGGGTGACCGGAAGCGGCATGGCCTGTATGGTTAGTCATGAATAAAGTATGGGACTGTCAAGACGTGTCTCTCATCTGTGCATGTGAGGAACCCTGCCCTGGCAAACACTACAATTATGATAAAAAACTCTCACCCTTGCATGCTCAGAACTGGTTTGATCCGTATCGAAACACACGTAAAACATATACACTTAGTGCTTTGAGATCATTTTCCCAAACACAAGATTGTCAATGAAAGTAGTTTGATTGTGATATTGCCGATGTTGTGTAAGTAGCTCAGTTCAATAACCAATTGAAAACATTATATTGTGATCTTGCCAATATTGCGCAAGCAGATTAATTTCAATGCACATTCCGTTGTTATGAGTCACAATGAGAGGGTGACTTAACATTTCTAGTCAAGTCAGTGTTGCGTGCTATATTTATAAAGATCCATGGGACACACCGAGCTTGTCTGCAGGGCATGTGAACGTATGAAAACAGTAAATAGGATCTCCGAGTTGACGAAGCCGATAAAAGACCATTTCGTTTTTGTTGCACATTTAGCCACCATCAAACATTGATTAAAACTTTCTTTTGTTCAGTAATGAATAGTTAATATCTGATTCCGAACGATGTATTAACATTTGAAAGCTCGTTGTATTTTAAATGTTGTATACGTGACCTACTTTCTTCTGAATGACAGTGATAAACTGTACCAATAACGACGAAACGTAATAAACGGAGCCTTTGTTCCTTCCTCTTGTGTCATTCGTGAACTGAATATTTAATTTCAGTTCGCAGCATGGTGATAAAAGATATACACGTTTAATCGCCTCTGTGCAGCTGGGCCATTGGTTTCTGATGACGTCAAATGCATATCGAGTTCAAGTACAACAGGTTTGGCAACCCTCACGCATATCTGAATACACAAAACGTGAAAGGTTTTCAACGAGGGCGACGGCTGAGAACACACAGGGGTAGGTGTGCTCCACACATAACACAGCTCTCCACGGTTTCATAACTCCGTCAAGGTATTTATGTGTTGATCTCTTCCATAAACAAATGTAACACTCATAACAATGTAACTTGAAACTTTGATGAACATTTAAAATAACTCATACCACTCACCCATTCACTCACTCTCTCGCTTATACAATACTTTTTTACTCGTTTCACAGACAAACCATGACGCAAATACTGTTGTTCACCGTGGTCCTGTCCCTTCTCACAACACCACAGAGAGCGTCAGGACAGGAAGTTAACACCACGCATGGCAAAGTTGTTGGTCTGAGATCTTCCGTCTTTGGCAAGACCATCGACACATATTATGGTATTCCTTATGCCAGACCACCCATAGGTGATCTCAGGTTCAAGTACCCTCAACCAATGGACTCTTGGAGACCGGAAGTCAAGGAAGCACAATCAATGAAACCATCTTGCCATCAAGCAGTTGAATCTGCATACGGAATGCTCTGGAGAGCAATTCCCCCCTCCTTCAGTGAGGACTGTCTCTACATCAATGTGTGGGCACCAGGTAATGTCACAGCAACAACAAAACTCACAACCATGGTTTGGATCTATGGCGGAGGCTTTACGACCGGATCTATCAACATGCCTTTGTATAATGGTCAGTATCTTGCTGCTGAAAACAACGTCATCGTAATGTCCATGAACTATCGTTTAGGAGCTCATGGATTTCTATATCTTGGACCTGACAGGTTTCCTGGTAACCAAGGTCTCATGGATCAGGCTCTTGCTCTGCAGTGGATTCAGAACAACGTTGGAAGATTCGGTGGAGATACAAACATGATCACCTTATTTGGAGAAAGTGCAGGTGCAGCCTCGATTGGTCTTCATTTGTTATCCCCAATATCACGTGACCGCTTCACTCGTGCCATTCTTCAAAGCGGGGCCCCAAATGCAATGTGGACATCTACTGAACCGTCGAAGGCTATCAGCAGCACAAGAAGACTCGCAGAGCTGTCGAACTGTAGTGCAAAATCGGATGCTGACATTTTCCAATGCATCCGAGTTCTACCACCAGAAACGGTAATACAAAATCAAGCACTCGTTCCTATTGATGGCTCTGCACAATTCAGTCCAGTCGTAGATGGCTATTTCTTACCCGATTCCCCAGCATCACTCATTGAAAAAGGACAAATGAAGCAAGTGGAAATCCTTCTTGGGGTGAACAAAAATGAAGGCACGTCATTTCTCATAGGGCGTCTGCCTACAATATTTTCTCCATTTACAACTCAACTTAATGTCAGCAGAACACAGTTCCTAACGACTGTACAAACCTTAACCAGGGGGCGGTCGTCTAACATTGTCAAAGCTATTATAGCTCAGTATGCTGATATCTATGTCCCTTCTCTACATCCAAACTACGTGGACAGTGCTGACGGCGTCCTTGGAGACAGTTTCTTTAAGTGTCCAGCTACCAAACTGGCTGCTTCACATTCTGCAAATAACAGTGTTTACTTGTACTCTTTTAATCATATGATCCCATCGTTGCCACCACCACAATGGATGGGAGTTCCTCATACGTTCGAGATAGAATCGGTGTTCGGGCATCCTCTCGGGGATGCCTTTACTTCGACAGATGTGGATAAGTCAATAAGTCGAAGCATGATGACTTACTGGGCGAATTTTGCTAAAACTGGGTAAGTACTTCTTCTTGTAAATATGAAAGCAATCATGGTCTATATTTGACAGTGATACTGCCAACTGTGTGCAATATTATGTTGCTTGGTTACTGTGGAGAAATTGAATTAACCACAAAAATAAATTTGAAGAGAACTTCTCCTAAATTGATAATAAACTAGTGCTGAAAAGGAAATATACACCACAACATATTACATATATATATCACTACATTCTTTCCGGGAACAAACAGCGAAACAAGTTAACGAATCGCCTTGACCTCACAAGAAATCTAAAACGACTATTTCTGATGTAACACGTGAATACTGACGGTATACGACAACCTACGCGACACGTGAGCAACACAGTAGTAAAAAGAACAGAAACAATATGCCACGTTTGAGGCAACTCGAAAGAGAGAGCTGACGAAATGGCCCAACAAGGGGCTTACTGTACCGGCATTGCAAGAACCTTCGGCTGCACCTGAGCAACTGTCATCAGATGCAACGACTAAGACAAACAGGCAATACGTCAGACAGGCCCTGAAGTGGTCGACCACGTGTGGCAACGCCCGGTGATGATCACCACATCCGGACAATTCATCTGAGAAATCGTTTTGTAACGGCGGCATCGACGGCAGCGACTGAACTGGGACACCATATCAGTCGACATACAGTGTACCGGCGACTAAGAACATGGTATTCGAGTACGTCGACCCTACTGCAGAGTGCATTTAACTCACTCACTCAAAACCGACGTCGTCCATTGACATGGGCCAGGCGAGTTCGACGTTGGGAGATGCGTGATTGGCGACGTCTGATGATCACCGACGACAATAAGTATTGCATGTACAGTAATGTCGGCCGGGCTAGGTGTATACAGACGAGTAGGTGAACATTTATTTCCGAATTGCGTTCAGCAGGTCCAACCGTCTGAAGCCGGTAGCTCGATGGTTTGGGGATGGATCTGTGGCGATCTCAAAACGAGACTTGTGATTATGCATGGCAACCTGAATGCTCGAAGATACAGGAACGAAGTTTTGCGACCAGTTGTGTTGACATTTATCCAGCAACAAGCACGTGGCATTGTCTACCAACACGATAACGCAAGGCCTCGTACAGCAAACTGACAAACGACTTTCTGCATAACCTTAACATCGTTGTTTTGCCGTGGTTAACATGTTCTCGCGACATGAAACCAATAGAAGACTTATGGTACTACCTGGATCGACAAATCAGAAGACTACCAGCGCCACCTGTCACCGCTCAACAACTGGAACAATGTATCCTACAGGAATGGCAATGGATCACGCCTACCGTCATTCGGTGGCGACGTGTTTTGGCGTGTATTGGAGCCAACGGTGGCCATACTCACTACTGATTCAACATCTGATGACATGTGTCTGATGACACCTTGTTGAATTGTGTAGAGGTTAAGACAATGATACCATGTGTCTTTTAGTGTCAGTCTAATGGTACTTTCGACTTTGTATGAAATGAAATTGTGTATATTTGCTGTACAATTGGAATGAAACAGATGTTAATATATATATACTTTTCTTTTCTTTTCAAGTTTCTTTTCAAACAAACCCGTGAAGGTTGGGGTTAGAATAAACCTTCAGTAACCCATGCTTGTCGTAAGAGACGACTAACGGGACCGGGTGGTCAGGCTCGCTGGCTTGGTTGACACATGTCATCGGTTCCCAATTGCGCAGATCAAAGCTCATGCTGTTGATCACTGGACTGTCTGGTCCAGACTCGATTATTTACAGACTGCCGCCATATAGCTTGAATAATGCTGAGTGCGGCGTAAAACTAAACTCACTCACCCTCTCACTCTTTTCAAACACACTGCATACTTTCTTTTGAGCAATAGTTTAGCATTCTTAAACAAAAATGAAGTCCATCAGAATTCACAACAGAATTAAGAAGGTCGCTCTATCCTTTGGCTTGTTCCGAGAGTCCGGTTTGGGTATATAAGTAAAACGTCTGCATGCTGTCTCTGTGGAGTAGCATTTTCGAACTTAACAAGAGCTTTCCTCGCAAGATCGACAATATAATCTTGCTTTGAATTATGTTATCTCTTTATAACTTCCGATAAGTTGTTTCGTCAATCATTTTCGGTGGTTCATTCGTAAGATTTTAACCGTGTGTTTGCCTTTGCATTAAATGAAATCTGAGTCTGAGGATAACTGGGTATTTGCACTGACTTCACATATTCCAAGGAGGTGTGGTTAATTTCCAGAAGCATAAGCAAATGGAATGTGCTTGTATATCTCCAACAAACCAAACTGAATCAAACTGAACCACTGGAAATTGTTTCATGGTATATTTTCCAAAAGCATATTGCACGAGAAAGACACTCAATAGATAAAAGTATCGTTTGTCTGTGGTGTAATTATTGACATTGCAGTGTTCCCTTACTTCAAAGTTGATATAGATAATGACATTTTATCGAATGAATTTCGGAGTGCAATGTTTATATCCTCATTGTAGTATATGAATGTTATTTGTTATGGTGTTTTTAATTGCTTAATGCGGTTGTATAATACAATTAGCCACCTTTATGTCGACCAATTTTGTAACGAACCCCCGTGCCATACATTCCCTGTGAGGTATGTGAGCGATGCATTGCATTGTTTCTGTTCAGATTCATTTTGGGGGCTGTGGCCAGGCGCGGATACAGCTCTTTGAGAGGGGGGTGGGTGCACAGTTCATTTGAGAGTGGATACTCTCATTTCACGAGAGTTCAAATGCCCATTAAATGAACTTTCAGGACGAAAGGGGGTTCATAGGACAGAATACGACTCATATATCTTTAGGTTTTTTTAAATATCTGTACAGGTCCATATCAGGTTAGTAACTTTAATTTAGAATTTTCTCTGATTAGTCTGTCTCGCTTTGTGGTGTAATGAGAAATCCGTATGTTGTGTATTTTCTTTCTAAATGTGAATAATATTATGTTTAAAATGGTTTGTAATGACTACTTGCTAATCACACCAGCAAGTGGAGAAGTGATATGTTAAAGGGTAGTCCAATCATTTTCGCAGATAGCAAAAAGTTGTGTTTCAATGTTGTTATTAGTGACACTGTAGCATTCCCTCATTTCAATGATGTGACAGACAATGAAATTACATTACTGTTTGACGAGTGTAGTTCGGAGTGCGATGTTTATATCCTGTGTGTTGGAACACTTTTGTAACGAATCCCATTCCTTGTGAAATAGAGTGGACTCCCTCCAAACCGACATGGCTCGGGACCGGTGAAAAAGGTCGGTTTAGAGGGAGTCTTTTAAAACACAATCCAAAATTGAACCACACACAGACAAATTTAAAGAAAGAAAAAAACAACGGACATGAAAGTACTTTTGCATTATGCTTTCAATGGATAGCCAGATCAAAGTTTAATCAGTTGTTTGCAACACAGAATGTAAAACTCCTAAATCTTTCACCTGTCTATGTGATATATTTTGTTTATTGAATTGTACCCTTGGTCATGTGGACATAAATACTGAATAAAGCTCTTCTTTTTCTATGTGCTGGCTGATGCAATCTCTTGTGAAATTAAAGTGTCGGTTTAGACAAAATCAATTTTGCATTAAACCGTGTTTAGGACCGGATTTGAGTGTCGGAATTCGGAATAGAGGGATGTCGGATTAGAGGGAGTTTCTTACATGATATTATATAGGGAGACATTCAGGATCAAATAAATATGTCGGTTTACAGGGAATGTCGGTTTGGAGGGAGTTCACTGTATGTGAGGTGGGTGTCAAGGACAGTATACGTCTCTTATCACATCAGTAACAACCATCGTGTTTTTTCACTATGAATATTAGTAATTGCTTAAAATGGTTTGTAACGATAACTTATTAATCGAACCAGCAAGTGGATAGTTGTTATGTTAAACGGTCGTCAATCCATTTTCACAGAAACCCCAACCTCCCGGAAACACCAAACTACCAATGGCCGACGTACAACAGGATGGATGAACGTTTCCTGGTCTTCTCCTCGTCCGGACTGACCACAGAGCAGGGCATGAGAAAGCAGCAGTGTGTGTTCTGGAACACTCTCTTGCCATTGATCTCAGAGACCAAAGAAGACACATCTACAGGCAGTAAGTCTCTTCTTGTAGTGTGACCAGGCACCGGAACTGAGACTGGCCCCTTGTTATTTCATCACTAACGTATATTAAACTTAAGAGTCAATCGTGACCTTTTTTGGTACAAAAAACCCCCAACATTTTGTTGAACCGAAAACGTTGCACCGTATCAGGGTGGTCGTATTAGACGCATTATGTTAGTGAACAAGGTGATTTTTGATGTATCATTTAACGTATCAAAGGCATTCTGTGACCAAATCTCCCACATTCCTGATTCTTCTGTTTCAGCAACAACTGATGTTTACAGATGTCACACCAGTGGAAGCAGGATGCCATTCACTGTGAACACGTGTCTCATTGCTGTACTTGCAGCATTAGTGAGTGTGTAAACATGGAGCGATCACCACAATGTTTTCACTGAAAAATCACCAAAATATTCCTGAGAAGAGAGGCTCGTGCAACGTAATCATGGGATAATACAAAGATTAATTGATGACTACCTCTCATAGATCTCAAATTCAAGTGACATGAATTGTAACACACGATTCGAAAGAGATCAATTTGACCGTTGGTTTATAATTCCAAATCATGTTTCGTAAAACAGCTTGTTGAAATCCCAGCCAGATTACATTAATTTTCTTCATTATGTACTAACACGGATGTTTACCTTATTTAAAGTTATATTTACACGCTTGTTGCACGAAACCTCTTTCATAATAAACAGTTAACCTTTCTAATACCAACATTTTATTGACATGCTTATTTCTGGTAGCCTCGTTCATATGCAGTTCTCTCTGTACCATTGCTTACATTTTAGGGCAGCCTGTTTCAGTAAAGCTTACATGTATAAACGTTGTTTTGATTTGCGAAGCCTACTGTTTGTGCATGTCATTTTTATATCCATTGGATACTTCTTTAGCCAAACCCCTTGTCATTTACTTTGCATACTGTATGTACGTCAATGAATAGGGTTGTGATATTATTTACATTTGAATCCCTAACATGATCACTAAAATCATTATTTATCATCCTTAGCATATTTTATAATTTTATATCACCTGAGATGGAAATGCTATCTCATTCCTTCCGAATTATGTTCTTGGAAAGGTACTGCCATCTGACAATTGGTAAAGAAAGACTGGAATAAGGACATATATGAGACAATATATCAATCGTACTTACGCGTCGAAAAATATATGTTCATGTATTGGATATCTTCTTTTTCCACTAGGGACGGTGGGGTAGCCTAGTGGCTAAAGCGTTGGCTCGTCACGCCGAAGACCCGGGTTCGATTCCCCACATGGGCACAATGTGTTAAGCCTATTTCTGGTGTCCCCCGCCGTGATATTGCTGGAATATTGCTAAAAGCGGCGTTAAACTAAACTCAGTCATTCAGTCTTTTTCCATTTTGGTGTAAACTAAACAATACTACAGTTATCTCGTTTCAGTTGCTGGTTTTCTATAATAAGGATTTCGTGAAGATTGCTTTTCATGTTACATACATTAAAGAACGTTTTGGAATGAGAGATACAACATTGTCGGAAACAAATCGAAATATCTCCTTGGTTCTTCTTGGAAGGAAGGTTTGATTTAGGTCAGGGCCCCATTAACCAATTCAGACAATGACCTACTTTTCAGCCGATCGGAATTTTCTCGTGTGAAAGTCAAAAGAGACACTACAAACAACTATGGTTACACTGATTGCCAGTTTCTTGTTTCATAAGAGAATGGTATTTACAAATTAATTGTACAATGTAATCGTACAATGATTCACAATTCGTCTGGTCCACTGGTTACACCTGTTATGTATTCGTTAAGCTTATTAAATGCATTTTTGCAACGTACAATGTGATTGACAATATATCATTGCCGTACCAGCCCGCCAAACTTTTTTAGCGGCGGAGCCTGGTTTTCAGATTTCCACCATTTCCAGATTTCCGTTTGTCAGAGCACGTTGTAAGACAGAGCACGCTGCGCGACGTGTTTGTTAGGATTAGAAGGAGCGTAGTGTTGCAATATACAAGTGATTAGATGTATCAAATAATACTGATTAATATTTATATATCCAGTTGAATGAGTTGGTCTCAAAAGTCTGGACTAGTTATTGCACTAAGTTGCGCAATAGGACGGAACCCAGTCAGCAGGAAACGAGACTGCTTTGTAATCAATGTTTTGACTTGGGAAGGATTTCGTTTCGCACTGTTACTGTCTTCCCAACTGTTCGGTAGCGGGACAGCCTGTGTTTGATTTCCAACAGGGGTTCAGTTTGTGAAGTCTGTTTCTCGTTCCCATGCCATTTCGAGAAAAGGTCAGCTAATCACACTCCATAGTGGCGCCTTATGAATGCAATGTGCGAAGCCTATGTTTAGTCAGCCTCAAGATATATTTACTGATCTACATGTCTTTCTCGACCTGAAGCCCTTAAAGGACTACAGTCACATAGAGCTGTGCTTGTAGTGAGTGAGCGAGTGAGTGAGTTAAATTTAAAGTCACATCGGCAGTACTTCAGCCATATCGTGACTTTGAGAGTCTAATATCTGACAATATAAATATCGTTTTTCGAAGGACAGTAGTTTGTCAAGACTATCACAGATGTAAACTTAAACCTTGCATGTAATCATAAAACAGTGTTTCCACTGAACAACACAATATAAATATGGGCTTTAGATCAACTGAAGGCCAACAACTGAAGGAAGATCACCATTCATGGGACCATGGGGACTTTTAGTACTTTTGCTTCCTGCATGGACCCTAGCTGGATTAACACCACCATGTTGAGGATTTATAGCCAACATTGAAATGACAAATATGCTGCGTCTATAACCAGTGGGAGATAAAATATACCTTGAATGACATGAACTTGCTTTGCCCCATCAGGCTATGTTTGAATGTGGTGACTCAGGCATGTAATCGCCAGCACATAAAGTCAACGATCTAACCGTTGTGGCTGGGTGGATTAGTTTTCGAGAGTGTGGATTCGAATCCCGGAGGGGACTTAACCTAACAAAAGTACCCAAACCTGTACTTCACTGACAAAGTGTTATCCCAAATATAACACGTCCTGAAAGGCATTAGGTATTCATCGGTTCTTCAGATTTACATATTGTTTTGCAAGTTTAATTGTCCAACTGATTATAGCCTCCTTTAGGACTCTTTCGTTTTCTATACATGTCCCTGCCACATACAACCTACCCAGTGCAGGTATGCAATAGATAGAACTTTGTATATCTAAAGGCTATCCGTATTTTCTGCCTGTGTTATCCATCTCCCGCCAGACCAATTTCATTCCGACGTGACCCGTGAAGATCCAGATTGGAATTGGTCTTCAGCAACCCATACTTGTCGTAAGAGGCGACTAACGTGATCGGGTGGTCAGGCGCCTACTTGTTTGACACGTGTATCTCAATTGTGTTTTTGCTGATGACGTTGATTTTCCGGTCCAGACTCGATTACATACAGACCATCGCAATGTAGCTGGACTAATGCTCTCCGTATTTTCTGCCCATGTTTCCCACCTCCAGCCAGACCAATTTCAATCCGACGTGACCCGTGAAGATCCGGATTGGAATTGGTCTTCGGCAAGCCATACTTGTCGTAAGAGGCGACTAACCTGATCGGGTGGTCAGGCTCGCTGATTTGTTTGAAACCTGTCGTCGTATCCCAGTTGCGTAGATCGATGCTCTTGACGTTGATTGTCCAGTCCAGATTCGATAATTTAGAGACCACCGCCATACATACTGAAATCCATTAAAAATGTAATTTGACATTCATACTTTCTTTACTCACACTAATTTAAACATATATAAACCTAACTGGCAGATATGTTTTAAGTGAACATCTGTGAATACTTTCATCTGAAAATGTCCAGTCAACAACAACATCAGTGACGCAACAACGACATCACTCAAAGGAGGGATCACTTGCAGTCAATATCGTGTGTGTCCACCGTGCGCTGCAAGACATGCTCGCAGTCTTTGGGGCATTGAAAGACACACATTTCTCAGGAACAGCTGTTGAATGGTCTGCAGCCTCTGATGGTCTGTGGTCTGATCATGACACCACCCCCTCTAAAACGAGCATGTTCAAGGACACAGTTTGGCGCAAGTCTTTCTCCTTTATGTCGATTAATCTGCAAAGGAAAAGTTAAACTTTGATTCATCTGACAAAATGACATCTGGCCATGTCCTGTTGCCAAGATTGGCCCCATTTGCTGCCCATCGCTGTCTGGCAAGTCTGTGGCGATGCAATAAGGTTGGACCACGGTGTGGGTGACGACACCGGATGTTGAAGGCAGCAAGGCGTCCTTGCACCTTTTTGGATGCTGAAATGACGTTGACTTGTTCCAATTGTCCTCCTTGCCTAATCATCAGCTGTTTGGAACCGATTTCGCAAGTGTGAAACGGATATTGCGGTTTTATCGAACTGTTATCACAGGTGGTACACCAGGTCGCGGACGATCAGCAACACTCCCGGTAGCCGAAAACGTTGTCTGAGTCGACTTACAGTGGATGGATGCACATTAAAGTGCCTGGCAATCATCACATCTGAAGCACCGTGGCTGACCATACCGATAACCTGATTCCTTTCGTCTTGAGAATAACATCCTTTTATCCCTACATCCTCTGTATCGCAGGAACAAATCTTCAATAGAACTTTTGTAAGTTTCAGGACAACAAATACCAGTTGCGTTTTTAATGGCTTACAGTATACTGAGTGCGGCGTCAAACAATAAACAAACAAACAAACAATAAACAAACAAACAAACAAACAATAAACAAACAAATATTCCGACATGAAACAATCGACAACTTTCCCTGTCTCAATGGCCCGTCTCAATACTCCACGGCTCTGTCGAAAATCCATGCAAAATCCGCTGTTATGACACACAATGAGAGGATGACTCATTATTTCTTGCATATTCACTGTGCTTGAATAGGGTATGGATTACGCAATTCTCGCTTACTGTCAGCGACACCCTAGACCTTTGTAACAAAAGGTTGAAACAGTACATTCAGAGCATGACATATTCATTACACAAGATCGTCGTGACATTGCGTTGAGAAAACACACAGCGCTTGTCATCAGTATGTGTAGTTGTAAACAGGTTCTCCCAGTTAACTAGGGACTAGTTCGCTGTTTGCTGTATATTAAGCCACCATCAAACATGGCTTTAAACTTTCGTTTGTTTAGTTATGAACAGCTAATAATTGCTTCTGTAGGCTGTATTAAGATTTGGAAGCTTGTCGCCGAAGACCCGGGGTACAATGTGTGAAGCCCATTTCTGGGTTCCCCTGCCGTGATATTGCTGGAATATCACAAGAAGTGACATAAAGCCAAACTCACTCAATCACTCACTCAGCGTTCGAAACAATCGCAGGCCTCGAGGCCCAGCGCCGGTTGTTATTGTATCGGGCCCGTGTGGCCTTCAGTAACTTATCTGTCAATATTTTTTTTGTTGTGTTTCTTTCCCATTTTGTTTTTGTTCATTAACGTTCGGGAATCATCCATGATCCATCGTGTTTCGATACTTACCGTTTCACTTCCTAGTATTTCAGCGCTTTGTGCATAGGACTGTCAACACCAGTCTTTAACAAATAAAAAACATCTCTCCGCGCCATAGGATATCGCTAATTGAAACAGCGTGAAACTGTGTATAGTGTAGTCTATTTTGTTCTTACTGGTTTGATTTTATCAAACTTGGCCTGCAGATTTCATCTAGGACCTGTAGATTTTAAGCCCTCAGGCAGCAGCAAGCCCTGATGGCCAACTGGCAAAGATAAGTATTGCAAACACTGCACTCACTCAGTCAGTTTTTTTTTGTACTATGATCGGCCCTCTTCTCTTTAACCGTCTGTGGTGGCAAACTGATGAAGATGAAGCGTGATTAACTGTACTGGCTCCCGAACAGTTACCGCCATTTTGCAGCGGCATTTACAAAATTAATCTGCCGTTCGTAAATTAATGAAACAGAATTAATTATCATATTTACTTAGCTATTCGCCGATGTGTCCAGCCCGTTCACTGTCGCCGATCGTGTTTTTATATAAGCGGAAGGGAATTACGGCAGTACAAATAGATGATTTCTTACAACTAACTGTAGCAGTAATGGCCATTTCAGAATTTCTCATGCCATTCGTGAAATAATATATGTTTATATCATACAGTAACCACGAATAGTTTATTATCTGACTATTTGAGTGTTTCTTGTACAGTAGATTGATAGGGAATGAAACAATTAATGACTTGTGAACATGAACGTGCTATTATATAGATCGTGTGATATCCCCCCGACTAAGTTAAAAAAAATTTAGGGTTCATAACTTTATCTTTATTTTTTTTCTTATGTTACTTACCGTGAAAAAAATTCTTTTGCTGTTCTTTTTTGTTGTCAAATACTTTGGGGAAAAGATACCGGAATTATAATTGACTGATGTATTGGAGATAACTGTTACGCTGTGATAACTGTTCGCTAGCCAGTACCATTTCCTCTTATGTCAATCGTGAACTGAATACTTAACTCATTATGGGTAGTTACCAAGTTTGGTATGTAGAGCTGATTTGCTAATATATTTTACCGTTTATGGTTAGGTTGCAGAAACTTCTTAATTCTGTGAGTTGATGTGATTTTGATTCATTCACATGCCAGGCTACGGAGCCTATAAAATATCATGTTGTACATTGAGTGAGTGAGTTAGTTTAGTTTGACGCCGCACTCAACAATATTCCAGCTATATGGCGGCGGTCTGTAAATAATCGAGTCTGGACCAGACAATCCAGTGATCAACAGCATGAGCATCGATCTGCGCAATTGGGAACCGATAAACATGTGTCAACCAAGTCAGCGAGCCTGACCACCCGATCCCGTTTGGGTTACTGAAGATCAATATTCTAACCCGGACCTTCACGGGTTGTTATTCATTGAATGTATTATAAAATTGTTATTATAAACTGAGCAGAAATGTTTTGCAAACTAGGCTGCAAAGCCTTTAGAATATTGTTATGACATCGTTGTCTTGTAGTGAGACAATGTTTGTTGTAAATACTATAAACATCCTAGTTAGAACTTTAGCTTTCGTCTGGAGGGCACAGTTCCTGAGCTTTTTTTTCTCATGTATGAGCTGTTATCTCTGGTTTATGTGGCGGGCTAGTTCTATTCTAACATTATGTTGTATTGCATGTTCTGTGATGTACTTATCTTTATATAAGTGCTACGTTTTGCTGGAAATGCCGTTGAATGATGGTTTTGTAAAACGAATAAATCTGCCGTGAGTCTCAGAACGGCTGTTCCAATATTCTGAATGTTTCGTGTTTTTTATTTGGAATGAACTCTGTTTGGAAAGAGAACACCACGTAGTGGAACACCACCACTCATTTTGGAATCCGTAGTATCAAACCACACACTGCCATGAATATATCATTTTGTTTTAATCAATAACACAACTGTCTATATTTATGTGGACGGAAGGCTTGCCTTCGCCGTTCGATTTTAATGCATCCTCCGTTACCGGATCAAAATCAATGCCTATATTGTCAACGACATCTGGTAATAACATATATATTGAAAAAAATGTGAGTGAGTGAGTGAGTTTAGTTTTACGCCGCACTCAGCAATATTCCAGCTATATGGCGGCGGTCTGTAAATAATCGAGTCTGGACCAGACAATCCAGTGATCAACAGCATGAGCATCGATCTTCGCAATTGGGAACCGATGACATGTGTCAACCAAGCCAGCGAACCTGACCACCCGATCCCATTAGTCGCCTCTTACGACAAGCATGGGTTACTGAAGATCAATATTCTAACCTTGATTGAAATTATGTAGCAGTCTATCACTTGATCTTTCTTGCCATAACATAGGATCAACGTACAGATATTTTCTTTGATGATTTTTTATCCGTAAAGCAGATGGTGCTTTGATCTTGTTCGACTGAATATTGGTTGCTATGCTTGTTTAGTAATTTTGCATATATTATCACTTATTTCTGTAATTTACACAAGCAAGGAGTCGAGCACATCATCGCTAAACCAATTTTCAGGACGTATGTGTAATTGCCGACAGCAAAGTCCCTATAATCTATCGGTAGGTTGTTTGGTGAACGCCATGTTGGTGGGCCAACAAAAATAGTGCATTACGGTACATTATGTGTTAGGGTGATCAAATACTAGTACCTGTGAATGTCAATCACAATCCAGTATATACTGAAGTTATGGTAGAACTACAAAATATCTGGAAACACAATTGGTAACAGGTAGCTCTTTATTTAACACAGACATTACAACATTAATACTCTGCAGAAATGAAAGTAAATCATGATATTAAGACAGTGAAATACGTGCTCTCTTCCTTAAAGAAGTGTTTATCTATTTATTTGTTCTCAACATGAGAAGAGGTCGCTTCTTCAATCTGATTGTGAATCGGGCATATTAGATTAAAAGAATGTTGCGGTTTAAGTTTTGCTTTACATCACGTACAGGTATGTCAGTCAATACATCAATCCAGAATCCGTATATAAACCACGATCGCAAGTGTACCGTGCAACAAAGCCAAATCAGTCCACTATGGTAAAAACTCGATGTTAATTTGCTTGTGATTAATATTAATGAAAATATCTTATCTAACAATGGTAAACGATACATTATAAATCAGATTGAACCTAACCAAGATGTTTGCCATCAGGACAAAATCTTCTTCATTCAAATCTGTATATCTCAGTGATGACAGGCAAAATTTTAATGATATTGACGGGAAACGCAAGCGCTGCTGAGGTAGTTCCTAGAGAGTAAATTATCCGCCCTCTTGGGCCACTTCAGTGAAATTAGGATTCCCATTCTGGCATCTTTGGCGCTGCGTCGATTCCAAAGTTTCAGAGAAATCGGACCATCAGCATCCCAACAAGGAGAGACGCAATGCTGACCTGCACAGCTTCTGCTTCAGAGGAGCCTCCTCCTCCTGTTGAAGGGAAACAAACAACACTGATAAGACTGAGTTAGTGATTGAGTTTAGATTTGCGCCGCATTTAGCAATATTCCAGCAATATCACGGCGGGGGACACCAGAAATGGGTTTCACACATTTTACCCATGTGGAGAATCGAACTTGGGTCTTCGGAGTGACGAGCGAACGCTTTAACAACTAGGCTAGCCCATCGCCCCCTGATGAGGATGAAGAACTGGAGTAAATGATGACGTTTAACAGAATCCATGATATGGATTAAAGATATGTCTGAAAATTGTCATGATTTTATATTTCTACACGAATGAAACAAATATTGGACGGGCATCAAACTAAGATAGCTCACTTTATAGAAAAGTCAAGAATCCGTGTAAACATTCAGTTCACAAAAAATATTGAAAACGGAAAATAAATTATGGTAATTTCGATTGTGTCTATATAACCATTATAGATTCCCGCAACGATTTTGTAGAAATGGCTGACTTAATTTGAGGGTAATATATTAGGGTATGACCCCGACCGTGTTGGAAGCGTAAATTTTCCCGGCTGTACATGGATTACTTCCCAGCTTCAGTTCTTAAATATCTTACTAATAACAATGAATTATCTCGCAAGAGAGACAGGGATTCCTGGATGTAGACGGATTACTTCCCTTTCACCCAGTAGCAGCATTGAAACAACTTACCAATGACGATAAATTGTCTTTCAAAGACTGGCAGGAATTCCCGGAAGAAGATGAATTACTTCCCTTTGAGCCAGTTGCATTTTTTAAAAGACTTACCAATAACGATGAACTGTCTCACAAAGTGTGACAGGAATTCCTGGATGTGGATAGATTACCTCCCTTTGAGCCAGTAGCAGCTTTCAAACAACGTACTAATAAAGATGAATTGTTTCACAGAGGACAAGGGTAGCTTTAAAGAAATTACCAATAACGATAATCTTCCTCTCAAGGAGCGGCAGGAACTCGCGGATGAAGAAGCATTGCTGGTACTGCAGCCCTTGCACGGTTGAGAGCGAGATTATGTCCAACTTTACATGTCTGTTGTTGGAGCTGTACTCTGGCCATGTCACAGGTACCGAGTCGGGTTGGTTTGGCTGGCTGGGAATTCGTAAAGACGAAATATCTCATTCATTACATATACAGTTTCATGAAATTAGTTTAACAACACAAGTCAAATGTCACCAGTGCTTCAACATATTCAGTGCCAACTTGTTTGAGGTTTAATGCGAGGGTGTGGTGCGGTGGGGTTAAATGCTGCAATATTTCTGTTTCCAAAGGACTGGTGTGTGTGTTCATGGACCTGTAAATGGAGTTCAGAAAGTTTTGCGGGCATTATCAAGTTACAGTGGCACGCACATTTCTGATAACGTGCGGGCGTTTTAATGATAATTCTATCCATTTTAGCTATGATGTGTTAAAAATCGGACTGGTCAGCTTTGAGCCTGTATACTCTTTCTGTGTGGTGAATCCAATTCAGGGATGTATTGTTACGATTCACTTGCTAATTCGGTCAGATGAAAGTATCCCTTTAAAACTTCATTTCGTTATTCGCGAGTCCAAAATGAATTTTGTTTCAAGGGAAGAGATTTTGAATAAATTTGGGTGAGATTCGTTAAAGCGAGATATATACAAAATTGAATACACCCAGTGCCGAATAACAGTTAGTACTCTTATATGACAGTAATGTGATCACTAATCGTTGTCTCGAAATTCTGTGTAAATGGTCAAAGAATATATTGTTACCGTTTCACTACATATAATGAATAGTTATCAACTGAACCCAATGCTAGTGATGTGTACAATGTTCGACTCATAGTCGATTCAGTGCACCCCTAAACTATTGGAACTTTTGGAGAACAAAGGTAAACTGATAACAAACCAAGGGTCATTACCAAGCCGAATTGGGCATTTCGACCCCATAATAGGATCCTGCCAGGGTAAGGGGACCAAACGCAACATTTGAGCAACTGATAATATATGATGATATTCAGCCTACATTTCTTCCCTTGCTATTTAACCCACCATTCATCAATTTCACATCTTTTTCGGGGTTGTCTGTAAATCTTCCTATTATTGACGTCATGAAAATCAATGTACATGCAGTAACCATGCCAGCGATCTTTACCACCCGAACCTGTTAGTTGCATCTATAAGAATATAAGCATTACTTACCCTGACTTCGGCAGGTTAGTGAAGTATGTCATGGTTCTCCTCGACAGGGTCTTCTCGTCGTTAGTGAATGAGAAACTTGAATCCAAGGGCAACCCAAACACGCTCTCCAACTCATAGGTGTGAGGGGCACCAACCCAAGCAGGCAGAGGGTTGAGAGTGATCCGATGTTCGAAGCTGTAGAGGTAAGACGGGTTGTTGACGGAGTAGTAGTGAAGAAAATCAATAATTGGGCATTTGAAGTCCAGATCGCTCCAGAGGTTCTTCAGGAGTTCCACGTAGTCCGGAGTCGTTCCTGGAGTCTCCAAGCTCCCATAGTACATGGTAAGATTCTCCTGGAATCGCTGGATATCTGTAGCGTTGAAGACAATGTCCAGGATGTCATTGTACTGAGCCTCTGTGAGCGTGAGGGAATCAGGAACAGGAGTCGGACGTAAGAGATCGGCTACGATGGGGTTCATGAACAGAGTGGCTTCATCTTTCATTACCCCAGCTATGATGGATGTGTTCTTGTAGTAACCTGATTTCAATATTGCCATTGGTGAGTCCGACAGGAACATACCATCGATGACTGGGACGAAGGGGAAACCGCGCGACGCGATCATCGACTGGCTGTCAATCAAAGCCTGCGGGTCTGCGTCTTTGAAACACTGGAGGAGATCTTGATCCGAGGCAGCGGAGCAACCGTTGAGCTCTCCAAGCTTCATAGCATTGTTTCTGGCGGTGTCTGCGTCGGTGTGAGACCAGTAGGCAGTAGGAGAACCGCTCTGCATGACTGCAAAATCAAACAGGTCCCATGAAGCTGGCGACATCAAATGGAAACCAACACAGGCGGCTCCAGTTCCTTGTCCAAATAAGGAAATTTCGCTGGGACTCCCGCCGAAGTTGCCAATGTTGTCTTTAATCCACGTCAGCGCCATGTGTTGGTCCCACAGCCCCATGTTTCCAGGAATTGTGTCAGGTCCCAAGTAGGCGAACCCAAGCGGTCCGAGTCTGTAGTTGATAGTCACAACGATGACGTTGTTTTCTGCGGCCAGGTATTTACCGTCAGTTAGCTCATATATTGCACTGCCACGATCAAACCCACCACCATGGATGTAGATGACTGTAGCCTTTAAAGCTGAGTTGACAGGAACCCACATGTTAAGATACAGACAGTTTTCACTGAACGTTGTCGGGTTTTGCCTGTAGACTTCTGTCTGAGTCGGAAGGTTGGATAGCTGAAGACATGATGCTGGAGGCCTCTGGGTAATGAGCGTGCTGGTCCAATTATCGGGAGGCTGGGGTTTCTGGAAGCGTAGATCATTCAGTGGAGGCTTAGCGTATGGAATACCATAGAATTGGTTTACAAACCTGCCAAGCACACGAATTCGTGTACCGTCAATGTTTCCACTGTTGGTATTGACGACGATGTCAGCAACACAAATGCTTAGAAACACTACAAAAAACGTCACCTCCAAAATATTCCGCATCTTCAGCATGATGAATCTGAAACACAAGGTTCCGTTTAATAGATGTGGATAGACTGAGTGAGTTAGAAATGAATGTCACACCGGCAATATTATAGCCATATTGTGACGATATTAACTTTTATTTCCCACGTGGTCAACGCATACTGATCTCGGACGTCACACGAGTGTTAGGTCACGTTCTGACGTAGCTACTTTTTTCATTCATAACAAACACGCGAATTCATTCATTCTACAACTTAAATGCATTGTGGGAATGTAAACATTACGAACGTTGCCGTGTCGCTGTTTAATTGTGAGTCGAACTGAGACATTATATCCGTCGAAAAACATCTGCGCAATGTTTCCACCAGTTATGTTAGCCGAATGAAGCAACTGCAAACCAAGAAACGCGGTGCTACGGAGTAGTTTACTGTAGGAGGCTGTACGAGGCGATGACAACTGACATGCATCGTGACGTCGGTTACCAGGGCAGTGACGTCATTACAGTGTGACGTCATGCAAATATTGTACTACAGTACAAAACTCTTCCGCAACCTTTTTATGAAACCGGTTTCGGTTCGAAACTAAAATATGAACAAAAATACGCTATTTTGTCAATTTAATGCATGTAAGACGTGGGTAATAAATAAAATACCACACTCGGTCTCATTACATACGAATTATACGATACTTGTGACCTTCCTATGTTATCTGACCTCGCTTTCTCTCGGTCAGATACCATAGGAAGGACACTCTCTATTTACAACTAACAATTACAACATCTTCCTGCCCTTAGAAACACCACAATAACTAGATTAGTTAAAACTAGATTGAGAGGATGGTAAAGGAACACAAAAGCCGTTCGATTATTTAATAATTTAAACGAGCTTGAGAACACAAGGAACCGACGTTTAGCCATCATTCTACGGATCATGGTGACTAACGATGCTTCTGCCATTGCATCACAGCAGGATTAACGACATGCCTTCGGATGACAACGTGGAATATAATTTCCACTTCCATTGAAAGGCGTGTCTGCAGGACTGGATCGGTCTATTATTTTGATCTCTCAATACTAAATATTATATACTTTCAGAGCCTGTCTACAAAACCGAGTCCAATGTATTTTTAATGAACGAAGCATACATCCAGTCACATTCAATTACAAGTCTGTACATGCAGGAAGTTCGCATTATGCAGTAGCTTCACGTATCTCATTAGTCGTTCTACTAAACCTGTCAGTATTTTTTCAGCTAGCTACACTTGCTCTGTAATGTCGATTCAGCTATACTGCTTACCAGCATGTTCCCCAAATGGTGTGAAACCTGCTATATGGTGTGCTGGTCTACAAGTTCAGGTGCTCAGAACCCATGAGGATCCGGGTTAAAAAATGGTCAGCCCATACTTGATGCAAGAGTCGACTAACGAGATCGGGTGGTCAGGCTCGCTGACCTGCTTGACACATGTCATCGTATCCCAATTGCATAGATCGATGCTCATGTTGGTGATCACTGGATTGTCTAGCCCAAACTCGATTATTTACAGACCGGTGCCATACAGATTGAATATTTCTGTGCTGTGCGTATTAGGACAAACAAACCAAACCCAATGCAGGTACTCCGTCACTGAGAGCCAGGGTTTGATTCCCGTATCGATGCAAGTGAGAAGATATTAGTATTCCCAATGCATTTGTTGATTATAACTAACAAGACTATATACTTCTGAAAATATTATCTCATCCCTGAATTCCCTTACTGTACTCGTTACTGATTGTTAGTCTTGAATAATTGTTAATTTTGAATCATCGTTAATCTGGAATCATCATTAATCTGGAATCAAATAAACCTGAACGCTTCCTTTCATTCCATTTGTAACTTAAATCGTTAAGACGTTTAAACTTTATATATACCTGTTAAACATACAACCACTGGGGCGTAAGAGGCGACTAACGGGATCAGCTGGTCAGACTCGCTGACTTGGCTGACACATGTCATCGGTTCCCAATTGCGCAGATCGATGCTCATGCTGTTGATCACTGGATTGTCTGGTCCAGACTCGATTATTTACAGACCACCGCCATATAGCTGGAATATTGCTGAGTGCGGCGTCAAACTAAACTCACTCACTCACCCACCACTCGGGATTATTGAGGTCATATTCCAAATGACACGTTAACGATGCAGTGCGAAGTTAAATATGCACTGCGAGGATACACCACAACCGTATCAAGTGTTTCAGTGTGGGACCAAAGAGCCAGAAACTCTCATGAGTCAAGAAGCCAAATCGGTCACCCATCCAATTACCCCCCACAACCACTGTGGCTTAACTGCACCAATGTGTGACCTGTGCGCCATACGTACGGGACGACCCATGACGATCCGGGTTAGAATTAGGAGATAAACCTACTGTGTGGGAAAATCAGAGGTACATAACGAAATTATAATAGCTCTAAATTTCATTTAAAACCGAACGCGTAGCGTGAGGTTTTAAATGAACAATTTATAATTTCGTTATATACCTCTGATATACCTCTGATTTTCCAACACAGTAGGTTTATCTCCATTCTACCATGACAATTTTATGAACAATTTCAGGTGGTTACGAGTCAATACGTGAAGCGGCCTCGCATTCCATTCTCATGTGGCATCGCCCGAAACGGGGTGATTGGTGGCAAACCGTCAATGACTAACAAACTCCAGATTCAGTAATAACAAATCACGTTTTGTTTTTTCAATGCATCACCAATCATTAACTGATAAGTTGGAAAACATATATCAAATAAGTTTAAAAAGCTTGGTTCACATTTGAAAATTCCACCGTAGACCCTATCCCCACCAAAATAATGGCAGCAACCTCATGGCCTTGACCTATTCTCGGAAGTCATTGTTTACATTTACGTGCAAATTTGGAAAGATGTGACAGGAGAGCCCCTGACAGTTTGCGCAAGGTTAACCTGATTGTGTGACTGAGATAGTCTTTGATATCTAATTACTGGTACTGGTACAAAATTTAAGAGTAGAGGCGCTTTTGCTGTAATGAGAAGTCCGGGTTGTACCGAATTTAGATACTGTTGAATTTTGCGCCCTGTCAACTTGACGATTTCACACACCTCTGCGTCTGCGTGCGACAGCTGTGGTGACTCTTACACACTCATGTGTGTACTTTGTGCTCAAATTCGATTCTACGGATATTATTTTCTACATTTTGGAAAGTGTTTTGTGACCTAGTGGCTTCAAAGTGTAGTGAATTCAAATTGAATCGGATTCGCTGGCATGTTCGCGAGTCTGTTGACAAAGAGCCAGATTTGTGGTGATATTTCCGAAAGGATGGATCAGGACATGAGGGTGTACCTCTGGCATAAACACGGTAAGGTAATTAATTATACTTTAATAGACTACTTTAGATCAAGCAGTGTAAGGGATAAGAGGGATCATGGCTAAGCTAAATAACTTTTTCAACGATATTATACTTTTAGAAAAAAAAATATGTTGGGCTAAACAGAACGGTTTGCAGATTCTGTAATTGTGTTTTACTACCGCTAAATTTGAAACAGTACAAATTTCAAAATATCATTTTGTTTGAATTGATAACCCAACTGTTTATTTATGTGGACGGAAGGCATTAAAATTTCTTCGGCGTTCGATGTTAATGCATCCTCCGTTACCGGATCAAGATCAGTGGCGATATCGTTGACGAAAGCTGATAATAAATTTAACACGGAAATTATGTAGCAGTCTATTGCTGGATCTATTCTGACATAACATAGAATCAACGTAAACATATTTGTTTTTGCTGAATTTTTATTCGGAAAGCAGACGATGTTTTGATCTTGTTCGACTGAATATTTGTTTCCATGCTTTCGAAGTACTTTTGCATGTATAAACACCTATAGCTGTGATTAACGCAAGTAGTGAGTCGAGCCCGTCATCGCTAAATCCCTCTTTAAAGACATATGTGTAATTTCCGACAGCAAAATCGCCACAATTTATCGATGCATCGGTAGGTTGTTTGGTGTCCGCCATGTTGGTGGGCAGACAAAAATAGTGCATTACCGTAAACCATGTATGATTGCGCACGGAAAATCAGAGACCTGTATAACGTGATTATATACCTCTGAATGACTTTAATTAACCAATCACAATCCAGTGTTTACTGAAGTCATGGTAGAATTGACCTTCAGTAACCCATGCTTGTCGTAAGAGGCGTCTAACGGGATGCGGTGGTCAGGCTCGCTGACTTTGTTAACACATATCATCGTATTCCAAATGCGTAGATCGATGATCGTGATTTTGATCACTGGATTATCTCGTCCAGGCTCGATTATTTACAGACCGCCGCGAAATAGCTGGGATATTGCTGAATGCGGCTTAAATCTAAACTCACTTCGGGACGGGTTTCGGTTTATCAAATGATAACACCGGGTGTCCAGACACCTGGCCACTGACCATAGCCTCGATGTTATGAAGGATTAGGCTCTGGGCCTAGATTTTCGAAGCTCTCTTAGCGATAAGATAGTCGTAAGTGCCATACATTAACATTAACTTACGACTATCTTAGCGCTAAGAGAGCTTCGAAAATCTAGGCCCGGGTCAGTTGGCAGTCGCAACTATTTCATTTTCGAATTCCTCAAATATCAACTGGTTTAAGACATAGACGCATTGTATGCAGACCACATTAATGAAAAGGAGATAGAGATCATTTCACAGTACGACATACATTTTCCTGGTCAAAACTGGAAATGAACCCCGAAGGATGCGCTTTGTCTTCCTTTACTAAACAGCCCAGCTCCAGAGCAGTGTGCCCCATATACGGTCAAAATGCTCGGGCAAACTGTAAGTCTCAGCAAATTTAACTGAAGTAATTTAACAGCTGCAATGTTCAGCTACAAATAATTATAGAATGCCTTCTTTGAATACAATGTAAATACAAGATGTATGGTCGTACAACTGCAATACAATCAGCGCTTGTTCAAACACTCTTATCATACAAGTGATGGGCAGAGTGCTCCGACCTGTGTTCTAA